GCTTGAATGTATTTTGTGCAGCCTCCCGGCACAATAACACGATCAATTTTCTTTGATGTTAGCGCTTCAGTAACAGTATCTTCGATGTGGCATTCATACGAATCCCATGCTAAAAGCCTACGGTCGAACGAGAATGTTCCCAGTACAGAGTTGATCCAGACTCCAGTTAATTCAGAGTTCATCCTAGTCTCCTCGCAGCCGTTCTTAGTGGCGGGCTCCCTGTCCCCCGCCCCACAAACGGCTGCTACAATCCGAGCTTTGATCGTTTCCCTTTGTCTTTTTCCTTCTTGGKGGTCTAWTTGAATTAACCAATCACATACCATGACAGTCTACTCCCGCTGATACCGCTAATCCAATGAGATGCAGCGTATGAAAGTTGATATTTTGTTTGCGCCAAACTTCGTAAAACCGTTAAAACTCATCCGAATATTATATCAAGAAATCAGTCAAGATGTTTACTTGTTTTTCCCTAACGGTTAGCAAAGATAACTTTTACATCTTTGGGAAAACAAGCACAGATAAAAATAGAATTATATCATTTAAAATTATAAAAGATTCTTTGCAAGTTTACGTAACCACGTATCCTGCCGATGCAGGTTTGTTTGTCTGTAGACAATGTTTTCACAGCTTGAATAATACGATCGCGCTTCAAAGAAACTAGAAGAAACACGGAAAGAGCTTGATCAGTCTTTTGTTCAGCAAGAGAAACGACCACGAGCAATAGTTACAAGGGAATATGACGGAAGTCAGAGTGCCACATGTCAACACCCACAGCTGCGAAGTGTCCTGGACGTTTCGTTGAATCATCGAGAACTTTAAGTAAAGCTTGAAAAATCAAGGATTTACCAGTTCGTAAATTAACAAACACTTCTCAATTTTCATCTATATGTTTTGTAATGGGAAGCTTCTGGGGGCAATTTAAGCACGATATCTTGAATTTTTGAGCAGCAAACACAAAACTATCCGCGATGTCACCCGCCATGTTTAGTATGATCGCACTTATAATACGCGAGTTCCTATTGGTCAATAATTTTGGCGGGAACTGCTGCAAGGAAATGAAAGCCGAACTGTGATTGGAGAAACGATCACAGCTCGGATTGAAGCAGCCGTTTGTGGGGCGGGGGACAGGGAGCCCGCCACTAAGAACGGCTGCGAGGAGACTAAGTTCATCCATGCGTTTGCGGATGTTGCTACAACTGCTCGACCTTTGAACTCTTGGTTTAAAGCTGACACTTCCCTTTTAGCTCCTTTGAATACAACCATTGGTTTTAATTTTGTTCCGTCCGCCTTGGCTGCTAACACGACAGATACTCTTGACTTCTCGTGTCCAGTTGTTTTAAGAGTGACAGTCTTTTTTCCACTTGCATCGACTGTTGTTGCCGAAACCATATCACACCAGACCGGTGTTTCGYCCATAGC